CAAAATGGCTTATTCAGCCTTTAATCAGCATAAATTGTTTATTGGGTCCACCAAAACCTTGCGGAACCTTCACTCAGATCGCCAAAAATAAACCGTCAAGATTCCCTGGAATCACTGGCAGCGTCGAACGCGATAGACTATTGAAACCTACTGGAACCTCCGTTGGCAGCACCTAATATCTCCACCGAATTCGCCCGGAACAGTCTCCGTGAACATGTGAAAACTCCGTTGAAACTCCCCTCTACGCCGGCAAGATACAAAATCTCCACTGTGAACACGCAAAAACTTCGTTGAAACTCCCTGATACCATAGAGGTAACTCTAAGACTAGAAGGTCCCGAAGAAATGTGCTCAACCTTTTGGCTCAGCTCTGGTACTATCTTCGGTCCCAAGCTAAACGATTCACCCCTCGAAACATAGGAAAATCTACACGGTAAGAAAAAAGTACCCAACGGAAAGTTCACTTTTTCCTACTTTTGACTAGTTTGTCTCCTTTTCTCCTTCTAATGTTGTCAAAAACGGAGGAGTAAACCCACCCAACAAGGGTAGTAAAGTGTGGGAACCCAACGTTGAGTATAACCATATTTACCTACTGTTGGGTACAACTAACTTACTTTTGGTTAAAAAACCAGTGGAAAATTCCATACGAACTGCACACAAGTAAATGAAAATTACTTTGACCAGCTTTACCTACTTTTGGGTTCCTGCACTATAGTGCCGAGATGAGTGAAAAGAACTTAATTTTGGGTACTTTTTTCTAACCGTGTAGAGTCGGTGTATAGAGATTGCTACAGTATGATTGTGTCAGTGATTTGTTTTCATCGGGAAAATTTTCCGCTATGAAGTATTTTTTTCCCGATGAAAACAATTTGCGTATACGTATACGTGACGTAGTGTGCGTACAATAAACGTCAGCAATCTCTATAATGAGTCACGCCAAGAGTGAAGCCAAGTCTACACAGAAACAAAATCCATTGGCAAAAATACTATATTGATGGTTTAAATTAAATACTCCCACCAATAGATTTGTGCAGAAACGAAATTCATTTAATTTTACTATTTTTTCTATCAAAACTACTATGCCGTTTGAGTAAGCATAGTAGTTTTGACAGAATGGTAGTAAATTTGTTTATATTTTTAGTCAATTATACTGAAATCATGGTAGATTAAACGGCATTAAGCGTAGTTATACCAACAATCAATACGAAACTAACGATTTTAAATTGGCTCACCACTTTAGTAGCCTATTGGTCCCAAGCAAACGATTAACGTACCCTATTCTAGTTGAAATTCTATTACTACACTATGTTTGTTTTGATTCGCTATGAAAGTTTGACAGATAACATCAGGGGTGTGTGAATTCATGCAGAACATGCAGGGGTGAGTGAAATAGCTTGGGACTGCTTGGGACCGTTGTTCTGGTACTGAGTGAGCCAAAAATAATAATGATTTTCTTCGGGACCCAGTGGTCTTAGAGTTACCTCTATGGTTATACTGAAAATAAGTGTTTTCTGCAAAATAGTATTCCTAACTATGGTCTTTGTTTCAGTGTACCTATTGAACTGTCAAACCGGCTACCTATCATGCAAAGAAAACAAACATTACGATGCTATGAAACACAAACGAAGTGACAGACGACTAACTGGCGAAGAAATCCATTTAAATAATGTGGTTCACTGTAATAGAATTTTCTTGGAAGCTTGTGCCATCATCCACCAGATGGGTTAGTTTTTTGTTTTGATTTCAACAAAGTTGATTTTGTGTACAATGATTCTTTGACAGTGTGCAAAGAGTGCGTATCATTTTGTCATTTTTTTATGCATTTCAGTTTTGAGTAGAGTGAAAGAGATAGAACCAAAACATTCTAGTACATTTGGTGAAAATGCTAGTTCAATCTAGTAGTAGTGTTGCCATGTGGTACAATCCAGTAGTAGTGGTGTTGCCATGTGGTACACTGAAAAATTGCAATAGCAGGTTAGTCACCAAAGTTTTCGAGCCGCTCCGTCTGTCACTTCGTTTGTGCCACACTACTACTAGATTGAACTAGCATTTTCACCAAATGTACTAGAATGTTTTGGTTCTATCTCTTTCACTCTACTCAAAACTGAAATGCATAAAAAAATGACAAAATGATACGCACTCTTTGCACACTGTCAAAGAATCATTGTACACAAAATCAACTTTGTTGAAATCAAAACAAAAAACTAACCCATCTGGTGGATGATGGCACAAGCTTCCAAGAAAATTCTATTACAGTGAACCACATTATTTAAATGGATTTCTTCGCCAGTTAGTCGTCTGTCACTTCGTTTGTGGTTTGTGCTATGAAAGGTCCACGAAAGGTAATGCAATAAAATATAAAATATAATTGAAAAAATGTTCATAATCACGTACTGAGCATTAAACTGTCATGGGCTACGTTTGGTAATGATCAGTAATGAGAATTTCTACTATTTTTTTGTAAGATAATTTGACAAAATTACTGATATAATGATTTACTACATCCGCTATTTTTTTTTCGCTAGAAGTCATTTGAAGTTGATGTAGAACCCGCATAAACGCGAACCATCACATGACCTTACCGATAATGGTTATAAATTGTTTATAATCCCTGCTAAACTTCAACTGAAATGGTTATAGAACTTTACATGAACGTTTGTGTGATAAAGTTTTAACCTTATGTATTATGGTTTTTTGGAAGCGGACCTTACAAATAATGGGTTGTTAAGAACCATTACCATTCCAAATTCTTGTTTTCTCCATACATTTTCGGAAAGAGAACTATATTAGAACGTTTTTACTTATGGTTTGAGAACATTAATGGTTATGGTTATGGTAGTCAGTAAGGTCCATTAATGGTTTTGTATCATCGCTCAACTTTACGTGAAATATATCGTGAATTGGTAATCAGTAATTTACAGGCAACCAATTCGCGATATATTCCACATAAAGTTGATCGATGTTACAAAACCATTCATGGACCTTACTGGTTACCATAACCATTACCATTAATGTTCTCAAACCATAAGTTAAAAGGTTTTAGTATAGTTTTCTTTCCGAAAATGTATGGAAAAAACAAGAATTTTGAATGGTAATGGTTCTTAACAACCCATTATTTGTAAGGTCCACTTCCAAAAAACTATAATACTTAAGGTTAAAACTTTATCGTTAAACGTTCATGTAAAGTTCTATAACCATTTCAGTTGAAGTTTAGCAGGAATTATAAACAATTTTAACCATTTTAGGTAAGGTCAATTTATGGTTCGCGCTTATGCGGGAAGTTCTCTGTTGCCAAGTGAAAAGAAAGGGAATCTTTCGAAAACCGTGATGCGAGTTCAACTGTTTTTCTCTTGGCGTGACTCATTATACACCGACTCTAGGAAAATCCAATAACCCCTCATTTTATCCGTCAAACTTTCATAGCGAATCAAAACAAACATTGTGTAGTACTAGAATTTTGACTAGAATAGGTTACGTTAAACGATTTGCTTGGGACCAATAGGCTACTCAAGTAGTGAGCCAATTTAAAATCGTTAGTTTCGTATTGATTGTTGATGATACTTCCTCCGGTAGCAACGACTATCTCCCTCCGGAGCTTCCACTGACTAGGAATCTCCGTTAGCGGCGCCGGTGGTGTAGTGGTAAGTCAGGATTTTCCCGAGGCATAAAATATCTGATCACGCCTTCCTTTGAAAGGAAAGTAAAGCCGTTGGTCCAAGGTCTATGCGTTAATGGGTCGAAACTCCCTGGAACCTCCGCTGGCAGGTTCGGGGTTTCATCCAAACCATTTGTGGGATAGTATACCCATCCGGGATACAGCTCGTTCATGGCATTTGTTTATTAGGGCTGCTTATCCTGATCTTCACCATCGACATCATCCAATATCGAAAGGCTGTGCGGCGACGTGGACAGTCCCGTCTGGCTGGAGCAGATATTTGCATCTACGTAACACTTCTAAGGATTGATGTCGTACGCTTAGCAGGGGACGATTTTGGGAAAATTGAACTGTCATGAATTGATTTCCTACGTCATCCATTCCGCCTCCAGTAGCTCCTGGATGGTGAACAGAGTTTTGGGATTCTTGTTAACGGATTTCCTCAACATCCACGAATGGGTTCTCTAAGAACAACAACAATTTCAGGTGAAATGGGGCAGTAATTCCCGAGAATTATGTAATTCAAAATGTGTTTGTAAGAACTTAACCCTATGTTAATCATCAATAGAATTTGTATGTGCGCAATTAGGTCCTCAACACGTTCTGATAATATAGTCCGGATCCATATCTCTCCAGGTGCGGGCCTGAGGTTTGCTGTACTGGAGTGGCGTTTGGCAAAGGCCTTGGTGTTCATGATGATCCACACTGAATAATCCAAGGGGTTAAAAGATCGGGACTGGATGGCGGCCACATATCTTTCGGCCAGAACGACAGATGTTTTTTCAGCCAATTCTGCGTGCGGTTCGAGGTGTGGCATGGTTCCCCGTCTTGCTGAAAGACCACATTCGCCTCCGGTCCATATTGCTCATCGAATTTGTTTATTATCCAGGTTGGAACCAGTTCCAACCCGTGCGAACTCGAGCATATTGTCAGTGCGAACCTCAGTCGGCCTAAATGCCCCTTATTTGGGCCCATACATAAATTTAGCAATCGACTAAATTTTCAATAGCGATCAAAAATATCCATTAGTACCGCTCCAATGACGCGTTCATCTAGATAAAATTGATAAATAGCAGATTTTTAGCGATGGGCCCAATCTTTGATCCAAAAAAATTACATTTCCCTTATCTATCTTACCGATGATACTTTTCTGCAGAATTCGCTCAATCCGAACAATATTTAAAACAATGGTTGTTAGGTTGTTTGATATGCAGCTACACTGTTTTAGTGAGTGACTTCAACAAGCTCATGGCAGAAAACCATTGTATAGTACTCTTATAAACAATATTATACCTACATCAAATCAAATGATGCCGCCGTCAAAATAAACACAAAATATTTTCCAGCCCTGGATGGCGTCGGCAGCGATGGCCCTCAGTTCCGTGTCGGTGGTGTGCTCCTCGCTGATGTTGAAGCTGTACAAAAAACCGACGAAAGCCTCCCTCCAGACGCCGGAGTACATTGCTCTGGTGGAAGCCGGAGCCCTGCTGGATCCGGACACCGTTTCCGTGCACCGCGGCCTGGACGATATTCCACGGCCCAACTTTGGCCGCTCGACCAGTTCCACTTTAGCCAAGTAAGCGCCTCGTAACCTGTTCTGTTCTCGGAGTTAACTCTGCAATGTTTGTAAATCTAGTCGGATATGGTAATTGGTGTTCTAGCTTTGCTTGTTTCGTTTTTTTTTATTTCGATTTAAATTTTTTCGCTTATGTTATTTTGATTTTTCAGTTTTCTCAGAGTGCCTTCCAATGCTTGATAATACAAGTTGCTAACAAAAAGGGGTTCCTGCCAATGAATATGCCATAAAGGGAATAACAACAACGTGACTATTACTAATCCTGCACTATTAACCAGTTAGGTTAAGGAATAAGAAAAAAATGATATTCTAACAGGGAAAGTGCCAACAAGTATTGAAGTATTATGTGTTCACTAGACTAGCTTTAAGATGACCGTTTCTCCACTGCTAGAACAAAGTACTTTTTGTTACGTTTGTACATTAGCCCAATCAGTTTTAACTAATAAATAGTTAGTACTAATAATCACCCTCATCCGATCATTTCTAAAACAATCTTGAAGCACTGCCGCTCATCTGCACCTAACTGAAGCTGTTTTATAAGTTTATATAACTTAAGCATGGTATTCTCCACTGAGTTCATTATATTTGATTTCAACTTTAAAGCAAAAGGTATTTCAGACGGCTTTTAGTTGTACCTACCTCATCCTTGGGACAAAGTTGAATTAACTTCTTTTCCTTCAAATTTAGACTATTCATCCGCTCGCCGAAGGTTTCCAACGATGATCGACTGTTAGCTTCCAACCAGATGATAGACGACGACGAGTTAAGCGTTGGGATCGTCAAGTCCATCAACAGTGGCATTTACAAAGACGCAACCGAACTGCAGAGGCTGTAGCCACAAAGAGCTGTGCCAACTACGACCAGCTAGTGATTTTACTTATGTTTTTTTTTAAACGAAAAAGTGACCATCCGAAGTTATTATGTTAGACAAGTTCAGCATTTTCACGGTTGAAATTCAACCGGGAAACAGCCATAATGGTGAACTTCTATCGATTTTCATTCTCATCATTATTGTTTCTGCCTTCAATTCATCAGTGATTTTGTGATATGTTTAGCATTATTTACGTTTTTGTTCTACGATTTTTATCAAATACATACATACATACTACGCTATAGCTACTCATTACGTTTGTATTGCAACGTACTTATCAATCAGCACAAATCCAACCAGTTGAAAAGTACCATATCCTCGATAAGGAGGACAAAACCTACCATAGATGCGTAAATAGTTAGCGAGAGGAGGAGCAGAGTTATATAAATAAATGTTTGTAATAAAGGCTGGTCTCGTTTTTGAAAGTGAAAGAAATTTACACCATTTAAATTTATTCAAAACTGTCGTATTTCATACATAATATTAGATATTGCAAAACGCACTTAACAGAAACATAAAATGTATAATATAATATTGATATCACAATCCTACCTTTCAATTGAAAATTTTACATCGTTCACAGCAAGGAACATCCGAGTTACGGCAGTTACTAGAAAGAAAAGGAAAACTACACTGAAACAAAGACCATAGTTAGGAATACTATTTTGCAGAAAGCACTTATTTTCAGTATTACTGTGCTTAATGCCGTTAAATCTACCATGATTTCAGTATAGCTGACTATAAATATAAACAAATTTAATGCCACTCTGTCAAAACTACTATGCTTACTCAAACGGCATAGTAGTTTTGATAGAAAAATAAGTAAAATTAAATGAATTTCGTTTCTGCACAAATCTATTGGTGCGAGTATTTAATTTAAACCATCAATATAGTAATTTTGCCAATGGATTTTGTTTCTGTGTACACAGTAAGTATCATCTATTTTCTTTTTCGTTTTTGCGGTGTAGCTACACCAGAACTGCCAAAAATCCTCTAAGTAAAAAAGTATGAACGTCTGTCAAAAGTTATTTCAATCGAACCGTCAACCGATTTTAACAACTTTTTTCAGTTCTGTGGTGACAGTCGCCATACTTTTACTAAAGTGCTTTAGAACTGCCCGTCAATGTGAGAATTTGTTGTCCCTTTCGTTCCTTCTCGAAAAGTAACGTCGTATCTAACCTATTTGGCATAATGGCTATTTGACATGAAACACAAAAAAACAGCTCATGTTCAAAAGAAGAGTAAACACCAACTAAATACTTACAATATGTTGACGCAGTTCATACAAATCTTCTCCGGACAGTAGTGGCAGCTGATTCCGCAAAACTCGCACAATTCCAGATTGCAGTTGGTACAGTCCGCGTGAACCAGTGAGATCCGGTCACAGATCCGACACTCGCGATCCGCTTTTTTCGCCATCCACGCCGGACACTGTCGACGAATGAATGTTAGGCATTCGGTGTTTATTCAAAATTCTTCTCCCAACTTACATTAGCAATATCGAAATCATACTCCCCGGTACCCAGGAGACGCACATGTTTCAGACATTCACGCTGGCAAACGCCCGGTCGCTGCTGTGAAGATGTTTTCGCTCCCAGGAACAGCATGTTCATGGTTTTCTCTGGTAAAAAAGAAGACATTATTTTTATTAGTTTTTGTCTGTGACCATCTCAAAAAGTAAATCAGGCGACCCCTTGCTATGGATGCTGGTGCTAGCCATCGCTCCTATGAAAAAGATTCACGATTTTCGTCCCAATTTCTTTAAAAAATATATTTTCTTTTTTCAATCCCTTTAGTGGTCTAGACCTGTTTGGCCCATATTTGTTGTTGTTTCCCTTCCAAGCAACTCACCTTCAATTTGTCTCATTTTTTGCTCGTTCTGCCGGTCGACCTGCAGTTGGTTTATGAACATCTTTCTTTGCATCACAAAAGGGCCATCACCGCCGTCGCCATCATCGGACCGCATCCGTTTGCGACGCTTGCAATTTACATTCATCACCAGAATATCACACATAATTCCTGTGGCTTACTTTCATCGATAGATTAACAATTTATTGTAAAAAACCTGAGTTAACTTTTAGGAAGTGATTACCTCGGATGCCTCAAAACTCTTCACAAAACGGTAAACAAACGAAAGCCCCGCTAAACTTTGACAGATTTGAAGCGCGAAAATTTCGATAACAGTAAATAACAGTTAGCACAAGCTTTGCAGGTGTCACAGTTGACTACAGTTCCTCCCCGGTAATCCGCCAAAATCGTGGTCGACATACTCAGAGGGAGAGAAGGCGGAGAAAACAAAATACAATTCGGCAGCAGGGATTTGTTCCTAAATTATCTTGCAACCCTTGCTAGAAGCTAGCATTTCAAATTACTTTTATTTTTGATTCGATTTCCGTGCAAAATAATAATTGATTGGATCGCAATTCTTTGCACATTTCTTGGTGCCATTCATTAACCAACAAAGATCAATTAGTCAATAGAGTTAGAATATTGTTTTTGGTTCCAAAAACTAGTTGAATCTGAGAAGCACACAAAACATAAAGGTGATTGAATTTCTGTTCGATTGCAATACTCTCAAATTTATTCTAATAAGAATAAGAAAAACCTCGGAAAATTTCTAATTGGAATGTTCGATTGGCTCAGATTGTGACAGTTCATTTGGCTCAAAACATTCTCTCCGCCCATCTCTCCCTCTGAGTATTTTCTAGTCGTTATAAAACAAAACCAACTCCGGAGTAAAGTGTGATTAGGGCGAAACTACCGAAATGTAAAAATAACGGATATTTTACTGCAATCAGACGGGGCAGGCAAAAATCAACTAACAAACAACCTTAAACATTTTTTTTATATGTTCCACTATCGAAAAATCCAAACAAAGCGAATGGCGAAACAAAATTTATTTCAAAAAAATAAATTTAAAAACACAGCAAAAAAAAAATGTAATATCGATCAATGTAATTCAAGCTGATGTATGAAATAATGATGTAATAGCAAAAAGCAGATACAATATTACATCAATGGATGTAATTTTGTTCGCAAAATCGATGTACATCGTACAACGTTATATTACACAACCGATGGATTGACCTGGTTGCAGCAGTTTGGATTACATCCATATTACATATTCAACAATTTTTTTTCTGTGAAGAGCCGCTCTTTTCTTTGTTAACGATAGTACAGGGCGCAATTTTGAAACATTTCAATGAATGGGTGAAATCAACACTGATAAATTGAACTTTAAACTTAAACTTGACATTAAGCTCAGGTTAATCATATCGAATGATTAAAAATTAATCCTCTCTTTCTAAAATATAAGCATCTGATATTAATCCCAGTTTAATCATCGTTGATTAGATCGTAGATTATCTTTTTTTTTAATATTTTTTTAATCATTTTTGATTCTATTTTAAATTTTTTTTTTATTGAATTTTAATCTTTTTTGATTATATATCAGTATTGAAAAAGATTAAAATTTAATACTGGAAAGATTATTTCGATTTTAATCATGCATGACAACTGCCGAAGTAATCATGGTTCGAACTCAATATTTTATTTTATTTATCATTGAGTGAAAGCTGTTAACCAACAAAAGCGAAAATAGTAAAAGGCTCATCTTTAACTGAAACGTAAACGCGGCGAAAAGTGAAGGGCGACACTTTAAAGGAAATTGATCAATTTTACGATCATAAATGTAATTCCAATAGAAAAAATTGCATATTACTTGCTCGGTTTTTCTCCATTTGTTTACATTTTGCTAGTTTCGTCCTAATCACAATTTGCTCCGGAACTAAGGCCATCAGGGGGTAAGTCACTCTGCCACATTGTGCTTACACCCAAAGAAACACACGTCAACACACTTCAAACACCCACAAACACCCTTCCGCCCCATGATAAGCAAATTTTTTAATCAATTGGGTTCTTTAAGGGTATTGAGGTAAATGCATATTCGTAATCTGCATTAAAAATGGAACCTAAACCCAAAATTTCATCAATTTGGGTTCACTGGAACTATTTTAAATAAGAACGATTACATTTGCAAAAATCATCTTATTAGCGCCCCTTGATGTCACTTTGTATGGGAGCGAGCTGTCAGTTTGTTAGTTTAGTGTCAAACAGTGAAGTTATTATTTTGGTAAGCGTGACTGCTTTCTCACCCCAATGGGTCTGGGTTTAATCCCAGCCGAGGTCGGTGGGATTTTTCTGAGGCATAAAAATCTCTGATCACGTCTTCCTTCGGAAGGGAAGTAAAACCGTTGGTCCCGGTCCATGTGTGTTTGAATGGGTGCGATATCCTACGCATCCTAACCACCGTGGGATGGAGAGCCGGAGAAGGTGGTTCCGATTGAACATGGTGACGGGGAATCGGTGCTGCCGATTTACACCAACAGGATGCAATTCCAGCATCAGGACTGGCTGGATTCCTTGGAAGTTGCTGTAGTATATAAGACATGCAAGAGAAATAAAATTAAAAATAAATGTACTCACACCTTTTCATAATTATTTATTAAATTATGACTGCAATAACATGACATGACAGTTGCGTGACGTAGAATGGCAGCAGCAGGAAGTGAAGGTAACTTTTCTCAGGTAGTACCATATTAAATATATTATAGTACCAGAGCTGAGCCAAAAAGTTGAACACGTTTCTTCGGGACCTACCCGAAAAAAAAATTACAGTGAAATTTTCAGTGGAAACAATGCTCTAACATTAATATTTATTGTCGACAATAAAAATGATTGTTATAATGTTGTACTCTTCCGAAAACGGCAAAACTGCTACCTAGCTGTACAATGAATGTACATAATAAAATGTTGTTACAGTGATTTTTATCGTATTTTTCATTTATTTTATTGTTAACATGATTCGATCATGAACAATAATGAACAACTCTATTACAATAAAAATTGTTGTTACATTAAATATTGGTGTATTTTCATTGTGGGTTACTTCACGAACAATAAAAATAAATCTGATTGAAGCATGCAGACTATGAGAGGGTCAGCAAAACTGCCAATGTAATTAAGATAGGCGCTGCTCGTATGGCTCTGGCTTTGACAGTTCGTTTGGCTCAAAACCAGGCAGTCCGCGTCCGCTCATATCTTATCCTAGACCCTCTCTAAAGCTTAATGGAGACCTTTTCCGTGCAGTCAATAATCATACAATAATAATAAAAAATTCCACCACTTGAAGATGTCAGGAAGGAACTCTCAGGTGGAAGCATATTTCATGGGCAATTCTCTCCAGTCGAATGCATTAACTTATCAACGACGCTCAACCACCAAGGAGACGTGACCTAGGGATATCGAGCGCAGGGGAGTTGGCCTGCATTTCTCACAAGTTCCGGATCGAATCTCGATCCATAACCAGTAAAAAAAAGGACCACCCGTAACAGACATACCACCCCCTTCCCTTCCCGGGGCAATGTTTTATTTTTTCGATTTATTTTTAAAGTCGATAAAGTAGATCTGTCAAGCCAACACATACACTCTAAAGTACACTGTTATTTTTTTTAATCAATAAATTCGCCAACCAACAGTAAAATAACAATAATATATAATGTTATTGAAAAAAAATTATATGGGAAAATCACGAAAATTTCATTGTTAAGATACTTAACAACCCCCCTTTTTTATTGTAAATTTTCCATTTACCATGAAATTTATTGTTTTGTACAACATAAATCAAGGTAAATTTATTGTAAACGTAACAATATAAATCATTGTTAAGACAATAATTTTCGTCTTATTGTTACATTGTTTTTTAATGTATTTTTGTTGTTATTTTTTTTCGGGTATACTAGTCTTATACCATAGAGGTAACTCTAAGACCAGTACGTCCCGAAGAAACGTTCTCAACTTTTTGGCTCAGTTCTGGTACTCTTTTCGGTCCCAAGCTAATCGATGCACCCCTCGAAACATGGGAAAATCCACGAACCCCTCATTTTATCTAGCAAACTAGCACGAAAACTGTTTGCATACCCGTGGTTGTCAAAAGAGAAAGTTGATGAAGAGAATCGATCAAAGCAGATAGGCCCTTTTTCCAGCTCTGTATAGAGTTATGAGAGGGAGGCGACGATTGTTCGTATTTGACAGCCACCTCCCCTTCTTGTGCATTATACATATGAAATGCATTTCACACATCAGGCATAACATTTGATAACGGCACAAAAGCATTTGTAAACAAACTTTCTAAGGCCCTTTAAACAAAAACCAAAGTACGCCTACGCAAACCACACAGCAAAAAAAGTTGTTGAATATTACATCGAAACTGATGCAACCAGGTCAATCCATCGGTTGTGTAATATCACATTGTACGATGTACATCGATTTTGCGAACAAAATTACATCCATTGATGTAATATTGTATCTACTTTTTGCTATTACATCATTATTTCATACATCAGCTTGAATTACGTTGATCGATATTACATTTTTTTTTGCTGTGCAGCAACATCATCGGATAGGGGAAACTATCACCTTTCCGAAAGTGGTATTGGTTTGCGTGGGCGTTCTTTGGTTCGCGTGTAAAGGGCCTTAGAAAGTTTGTTTACAAATGCTTTTGTGCCGTTATCAAATGTTATGCCTGACATGAAATGCATTTCAGTTTAAAAAATATCCACCAAATTTCAAAAGGCAAACATCTTCTGAAGAAATTATTTTCTCCAACACCTTACCCCCCGGCGCAGATCAACTGTGACCAGAGCTGATGAAACCGCAGCCAGATTTGACAGTTCAGTCCATCCATCAGTCAATCGAAACCGTCATCGTCATTATTTTGGTGTCGTGAGTGATTCACGGACGTGCTCTTGATCGGGAGTGCAATCGGAAGAAGAGTTATTGCTCAGCGATAATAAAATAAAACGACGGAATTATTCTACGGTGATAGTGAAACGTTCCCTTCTCGGTTTGCCAATGTAAAACTGACCCCTGGTGTTGAACGCAGCAGTTCCGCATCTAGCATCAAACGACGGGAGACGTGGCCAGCAGCAGAATCTGGAATTGCTGACAAATACGGGACGCGGCTGAAACATGTAAGTTTTTTTTTTACCCTCAACTCGTTTCCTACAAAATAAGTTGACGTCATTATAATTGAAGTCTGCTTTGGATCGTGCCTTTCGTTGGGGGTCTTCGCATCATCCAATGCGCTGTGTATTTTGCCCTGCTGCTGCAGTAGCAGTAACGAATGTGTTGTAAACCTTCGATTAGTAATACGTTTCATCACCGTCCTCGGATAATGGATAGATACAATCTGCGAAGAAAAAGTAGCCCAATGCGGATCCGATTTTAACAAACTGTTGCATATCAGCAGCAGCAGCGGCAATTACCAGTCGTCTTAGGTCTGCCTGCAGCAAGTTCCAAGGGAAACGCCTATACTTGGAAAAAAAGGGGGAGGAAGTTGTCGTTGTTGTCGTGTGTTTGCTAATTCAATAAACAGTTTAATTAAAGAGTCTCGCTCGGATTATGGCCATCTCGGGGAAGACTGGAAGAGATTCTGTCTCGGTCGATGATATGAGAAGTTGATGGATTTCATTTGCGTCTTTTATCTAATACGCTTCAATCTTTCGACCACAAAGAAAGAAGCACTGTTGTCTTGAAGAATGTTTGTGGTGACCTTGGTGGCATCGTCGTTTGTTGTTATTCGCTGACTCTCGCTCAGTTGAATTCGAGTTTGTTGTTCTAGAACAGCTCGGAAGGAAGGCAAACGCAGCAGCGGTCATTGTGTGCGGCGAAAGTGTGATTGTCGCTAACAAATTTATTTTGTCCACACGTAGGTACAATCACAGGGCAATTGGTTGAGTTGGAAAGTCTGGAAATCTCAATGTACAGTAGTACAATATTGATCGGTTGTTTGTGTTAGCAGTGTTACAAACATAGTTTCCAGTTTATGTAAGCATGCATCCTTCAAGGTGTTCGAGTCTGCTGATAATTGAGTGCTCGACTGAGTCATGCAAGGGTGTTTTGATACGGGCTTTGGTTAGGTTAATTATTGTTTTGCCTATCTATGATGCAGACACACAGCTGTAGGTGGTTTTTTTTTTAGCATGTGTCACATACCTAGTTCCAAAATTAATATTTTGTTCTCAAATACAAAATATTAAATCGGTTTATTTCCAAAATTTTAAAATTTCTCCTTATCAGATAATTCTCATTTGTTTTTCGAGGTTCCGAAAAAATGTCGATGTTTAAGACGTTCTTTCTTGATCTGAGATTGATATTTTATTGTAAGTCTAGGCTTCCCGTCAGCAAGCGTAACATGTTTGACTTCACTTTCGTGTATTTCCAAGAAAAAAATACGGTTCTCGACGGTATGGCTTATCTCCATCTTTTGCAGCGTTTTCTTGTTCCTGTTCTAACCTTCATCGCTGAATTCGTACCGGAGCCTTACTGTTTCACGGCTTCGTACATGAGATTATATTCCTTCCTCTGATCGCGCCAAATTAGGTTTCCGCTTGACCTTGACAAGATCCAGGGTCAGCTCCTCGTCCGATCGGTTCTACATAGCGGTAGTCAGGGTGTCGAATGTTTTTGGTAGGTTTATCAGGATCATCGCGATCAGCTACATACAGTTCAGTTATGCGTCATTAGTGGGTGCCTTGATAAAACTCCACCCTCGCTTATCACTTACATTTACGGAATTTAAGGCGATTCCTTGTAGAGTCCTAAGATGGCTGTCTATGATGGCTGATATGCCCCATTCACTTTAAGTTTTCTAGAGCACAAATCTCGGGCACGGTCGCGACATCGGTCGTGAAATTGGAACTCCCTGTTTGCTGCGACGCCAAACCAAAAAAAAAGTTCTACCTTAAAGTGCCATCTTGGATAATTTCCGAAGCAGACTTTGTTGAACATAAGTCCCAAAGTTTGCTGTCGTGGGGTGATTTGAGATTAATTTCATGTGGCCGCTCCCCGGGATAGCAACTTTGCAGCACAAACCCATTCCCCTCAATTCTTGCTCTGCTGCTGATCTACTGGTGTAGCCCAGGTACACAATATGATAGGTCTCTAAATCCACTAGCACGGAGTCCCCAACATAATCCAGTATATCCAGCAGACTGACTTGGACGTCGATTTTGGGATGGGAATCTGTAATCATACAAAACATAACCTAAATAATATCGGTGCTTGGTGATTTTAACCTACCGGACATTGCATGGACTCCAACCCATAATGGTTTCTTTTGTCCTAATCACGAGCGTTCATCTTTCCACGTAGGAACCATCTAGCTCCTGAACAGTTTTCCTTTATTTAACGTCAGCCTCTGTTCCGCAATCTAGTGCCAGTCACCGACGGACATCGATTGCCATCCATTGACGGCAATCGAATCTGCAGGAAGGCAGCTTCTACACCTGCGTAGGATATCGCACCTATTCAACACACATGGGCCGGGACCAACGGCTTTACTTCCCTTCCGAAGGAAGACGTGACCAGAGATTTGTATGCCTCAGAAAAATCCCACCGACCTCGGCTGGAATTGAACCCAGACCCATTGGGATGAAAAGCAGTCCCGCTTACCACTACACCACCGGCGCCGGCAGCTCTTGGACAGTTATAGTACCGCAATTCTGTCACAAATCAATAAGGGGCTGTTCATAAACTACGTAGACAGTTTAGAGGGGGGGGGGGGGGTTGACAATTATCCACGGCCCATACAAATTTGAAATTTTTTGTATGGACAATTGTCTACGCAGGGGGAGGGGGGATCAAGAATCCCAAAAAACTGTCTACGTAGTTTATGAACAGGCCCTAACCTGTTAAATGAAAACAACCGCACTCTGGATCTCTGCTTTGTGAGTGCTCGTGATACAGCTCATTTCCGCTCCACGGCATCCGAACCTTTAGTCAAGAAAGTGCATCATCATCCTGTTTTAGTTATCGTGATCGAAAATAATATTGTCCATGATTTCATCAGCACTCCAAACGCTGTGTCATATGACTTCCTTTGAGCTGACCATCGCAGTATTGTCCATGTGCTGTCTAACCTAGATTGGGAGCATATTCTAGATCCTGTATACGTCAACGTCACGTCTTGGCATATGTCATTTACAAACACGTTTCCAAAAAGATCATCCATATCGACTCTCGCGTCCTGTGGATGGCGAAAGATCTTCGCTCGTTGAAAAGAACTAAGAAGGCTGCTCTCAGGAGATTTACTAAATTCCGCACACTGCCGCTGAAATGCTACTATGTCAGACTCAACCACGGGTATAAGCGGTTAAGTCGTCTCATTTTCTAGGATCGGCCTTACGAGTGAACAATACAATGCTTTTAGACAGTGTGGATCCGTGAAATCCTTGGCAATCTTAGAGATGAAGCCAAGTTGACGATTAGCCTTGGAAATAACGATGCATAATGGGAATAAAAGGAAAGCTTCGAGTCCAATGCGACACCAAGATCCGTCACTTGATCCACTCTGCTAAGAACAGTATCATCGATGTGGTATTCATAAATTAACGGATCTTTGGACCGATAGAAGTTCATCACATGACATTTCGCGACGCTGATGACAAGCTTGTTCGCCAACGAACATGTTGAGCAACATTTGCAGGTGAAAACAGTCCTCGATGCAGCGTACCGCCACATAGATTTTCAGATCATCAGCATATACGAGCTTGATCTTGTGGCCAAGGGTAGATGCAGCGTCATTGAAGAATAACACAAACAATAACGGTCCCAAATTACTTCCTTGCGGGACACCTGACGTGCTAGAAAATGGCGATGAAACACTGCCAGCCAAGTACGATGGCAACCACGACACCAATCGATTTGAGGTTCCCAACCGCGATAGCTTGCAGAGCAACAGTTTATGATCAATTTTGTCAAAAGCCGCCTTTAGGTCCGTATAGATAACGTCAACCTGCGCTTTATCTTCCATAGCCGAAAAAACAGGTAGTAGTTAGATGCAGCAAGTTAGTAGCAACAGACCTACCGGGAATAAATCCATGTTGATCTGACGTAATGTGGTTTTTTTTGTAGCGCGTAGAATTTGATCACTGACGACAATCTCGAGAAGCTTCGATGCGGCAGAAAGGCTGGTTATCCCACGGTAGTTTCTAACATCTCGTCGGTCACCACTGTTGTGCACAGGAAACATGTAGGATAGTTTCCAGCTCATGGGAAATTCACCTCGCTCAAACGAACGGTTTAAAATTAAGGCTAGCGGCACAGCTACTGCGCATGCGCAGCGACGGAAAACAGCAGGAGGGATACCATCCGGGCCAGGAGCAAATGAACTCTTCAACTTTTTTGAAGCACCGATGATCATTGCAGATGATATTTCTAACGTGTCTAAATCAACTGCATCCAGCGCGACATTTGACGCAGCTAGTTCGGCCTCGACGTCGGACGATGACACTGGTTCGAAGATGGATGCGAAATGCATCGCGAAAAAATTGCATGCTTCTTCTTCACTATTGGACTCTTTGCCATCATAGATCACATTAGGCGGAACTGATGAGCTTTTCCTCTTGCTGTTTACGAAACCCCAAAACGATTCCTGTGTAAACCAAACTGCACCCTCAAAACGTGTGATTTGTAGAGTGAAGTATTCAACTTTCTGTAGCCGTCGCTCGCTCGTTTGAAGTTAGCTTTTGCAAATACGGATTTATGCGCCCGGAAATAACGTTGCCACCGATTGCGTTCTTTCTTAGATTTTCGAAAAATGGGCGTACTCCAAGGAGGAGAGACAGGTTTTCTCTTCGTAGGAACGTTTAAGTTCAACCATTGGGTTGAACTTAAGGCTAGGAACGGGTAAGTTCAACCATTGGGTTGAACTTAAACGTTCCTACGAAGAGAAAACCTGTCTCTCCTCCTTGGAGTACGCCCATTCTTCGGAAATCTAATTGCCAATGCGGATGATGGTACACAAATTTGAGGCCATGTCATGGACATCCACACTGTCGTAGACACAATTCCAGTCGAGGCCTGACAGGTAAGCGAAAAGCACATCAAAGTCGATTTTGCGGTAATTTAGTGCTCTTTCGAATTCATTTGCCAAACAGGCCTTTGGTGTCCACCCCAACAACTGCCGACT